TTCAAGTCACTTCTTTTTCACCCCCAAAATTTGCCAGTTGGTTTATCAAGAACCACAGCGAACATCAGCCCCTTTGAAGGGGCGCAGCTGCCACAATAGAATATTTTTTTCATGGCTGTCAGTTGCAGAAAGAAGGGGAAAGAAAAAAAAGGAGCCTGCTTTTCCTTTCCAGGAGATTGAGTTCATTTTCTATCTGACAGGGATAAATAATAAACAGTATTTTTTTTTTTCTGCTGTGAGGGATTGTGTTACGTTATCTGTTTAAACATTCCGTTACATTTTAGTAATGTGAATAATGATTATTCCTGTGCTTCTGAGCTCTCTCTCTTGGCTCGGGCGCCGGAGGTTCAGGAGACACCTGGCATTGTTGACAGAGCGCTGAACTTGAACGCCTCTCACTGTGACAGGGCAAGCCCAAATATTTTGGGAAGAGTCCTTGTTATGTTACGACAGGGGTTGGTAGCACTGATGCTGGGGACAGGTTTTGCTTTAATACAGAGCTGATTATGCTTTATTATTCAGGGAACAGCGTGAACTTGGGCAGGCGGGCTGCTGGGAGAAGGAGAATTGCACTTGGGCACTTCTTATTTGTAGGATGTGCTGAAGGTCTTCCAAGAGATGCTGTCTGTCAGGAGGGGTCAGGACAGGAGGCCCTGAAAGATGTTTTTCTGTGGGTGAGAAAGTGGAAGAAATAAAGCTTTTTTCAAAATAATATAAATGTTTAATGTAGTCCCTACATGTAGACAAATACCTGGGGAAGAGCTTGTATTAAAATACCTTTTTAATCATACTTTCTGTCCCTCAAGGTGGTGTTTGCTTCCTACAGTGTACATCTTCCCTCTTTTATTGGTTTCTTCTCCTGAAGTCAAGCTGGATCTTGGCAGTGCTTTGTGCATCTCCAGTGCTGCACGAGTGTCCAGCTCGTGGTGTTTCATCAGCCATGGACTTTTCAGCAAGATTGGATGGGTTGTGGCGTTTGCCAATTCACGTACGGCATGTAATTATATTCAGGAAGCAATAGGAATTAAATTACATTAATTCCCATGAATATTCATTTAAGAATCTCGACCAAATTCAGGCAGATTAATAGTCCAACGAAAATACAATGGCTATTCATTGCCCCCACAGGAAAAGGAAATATGTATTGGCTGGCAGCTCAGGCCAAATGGAAATGTGCTATAGAAAAGTTATCTCTAGGTGGCTTCTGGTACAGTGGCGGCTGGAGGGACACCTCCAGGAGCAGAGAGGATTAGTGTGGGTACGGACGTGGGGAGCCTTTCCCATCCAGCAGGAACCCAGAGGAGTCTGGGGTGAATCCAAGACTCATGTCTCTGCACTGCCCATGCAAATCCAAACCAACTCTGACTGCAGTGGAGCTTCTCTGGACTCACAACAGAGCAAAATGTCATTTATTCTGTGCCTGACTCCCGCTGCCCTGTGTGTGGAGCCAGGCTGCAGCCTGCTCTGCCTGGATTGTGATGCTGCGGGGCAGCACAGCCATTTCTTTGCCTTACAAGCAGCACCAAGCTGGCTGTGCTGCTGGCTGCCTGCTCTGCCATAGCCAGCCCAGCACCAGCCCTCAGGGTGGCTGTGGGGCAGCCCTGTCCTGCCAGGCACCTCCTGGCACATGGAAGCTCAGTTCTGTTCCAGCTTGTCCTCCCAGCACAGGCCAGGACATGGCTTCTACTGTGGCCAGGGAAACTGGGAAAGAATAATAGCAAAAGCAGATGACGGATGCAAATGCGTTTGCAACTGAGGGATCAGAATTTGGTATGCTGGAAACCCCCCTCCCCATCAACAATATTTCATTTAAAAAAATATCTGGGTTTGGTTATAGCTCTCATTTGGGAGAAGTTATTATTTTCATTTTGCCAGACAAGCCAACTTGAGACCTTAGCTGTGTCACATTATCTCTTTGTGGGACTTCCCCAGTTGGAGAACAGATCTTCCACTAAAGCTGGTGCAAGTGTTGCCAAGAGCATAGGGCTTTGTCTCTAAGCTGATGTTTACACCTTTTAAAACTCCCCCTCATAGGCAAGTTGACCTTTCCTGCCCTTGAAGTTCTCTGAGCAAAAGAAAGGTCCAGTTATTTTACCTTGCACGTATACCATGTGATGGGTGGAGCTGCATTTTCTACTTTTTTGTAGGTTATTTGTTGCCAGACTGATCTGATTTGCCCTGACTACACCAAAAACAAGGAAATGTGGAAAGCAGCAACCACCATTTTGCCAAGAAGGGGTTTTGCCTCAAGTTGCAGTACGAGTATACTCACAGGGCTGCTTCTGCTTGTGCTTATTTGAAACAAAAGTCAGATAATCATAAAACCAGGCTGTAAATCCAATGTGCATTCCTCTTTATGTCCGCCAACTTTTCGGGGCAGTACATGGTGTGTATCTCATCTTTTCATGTCTGATGTAAAAGGTAAAATAACAGCTGAGTACCCACATGGGCTTTGCACCTACGCAGCAGTGCCAAGTGGGCCAGGAACCCGCCGTGCAGCCTGGTGATGTGCTCTGCAAAGCCTCATAAACCAGTGACTAAGGCAGAAAGGACTCCAAAGCCTGGCTCCTGGGACATTGAAGGTGTGGCATTACAGTAGCTTGGAAAACATTCTGACTTTATAACAAGTAACACCTATAATTACAGAGGCGTCATCACCTTCATTTTTTTTTTTTTTTTTTTTAGCTAACAAGCTGTAGTTGTAGCCTGTGTACATCCCTGCCAAAATCTGTGAAGCATTTGCTCTTGGGATGGTTCTGCCGGTGGTGGGAATATCAAGCATCTTTCTCCAGGCACTTGTAAAACAATACAGCAGTAAACAATTCAAGCACAATTAGCAGCTACATAGGCAGAAGGGGAGGGAGAAGTCCCACCGCTGGTACTGTCTGTGGAATTAATCATGTTTTACAGAGTTGATATACTGGTTTGGATGTGTGAAGTTAAAAACAGGAGATGAAGAAGTAGCCAATAAGCATTTATTCGAGGATGAAATGTAAAACAAGTATTGTTTCTTAGCGGTATAGGGGAGAGTGTTCAAAAAATGCTATTTTAACAGGTTTAGCTCCTTTTTCTTCCTACTGAAGAAACAGATGAACTAAAAGATATAACAAGATGATGCTCGCTTTTAAAGCTGGTGGTCCCGCCCGGTGACACAAACCCCGGTGTCTCCTGCGGTACCGGGGCTGCACAAGCGGGATGCTGAACGCTCCGCTCCCGGCTCTCGCCCGTTCCCGGCCCCGAGCGCTCCCCGCCGGTCTGAGCGCACCGCTCCGGCAGCGGCGCGAGCATCACCTCCGCAAATATTTATTTGCAGCGATTTTCCTCTCTCAATTATTTAAAATATAATGAATTACGCATAAGTACCTCGCTATTAGGGTAATTCCAGGTCTTAATTGCTGCCAGCGCGGCTCCCGCCGTTCTGCCGGGAGGTGGCGCCGCGGGCCCGGCGCTGCTGCCGGAGCCGCCGGGGCCGGGCTGAGGACGGGGAGCGGGCACCGGGACTAGGGGAGAGGCTGGGCTCAGCGCGGGGCTCCCGTGGTACCGCTCCTGACAGTGTGTGAAACTATCGCCCCCGGCCCCGGGTCAGGCCTGCGGGCAGCCACACGCGATCGCCCAAAAAACAGGGAGGGAAGAAAGCCGGGCGGGTCAAGGAAAGAGTTTTTTCCCCGAACGAGTCGGTCGGTCGCTCGGTAACTTCGCGGCCGCCCGCTGACTCCCGCCCGCAGCGCCGGGCAGGACGCGCTCCATCCCCGCGGGGCGCCCGACGCCCGAGCCCCGTCCCGAGGGCGCCGCGGTGCTGCCGGCAGCGGGCCGGGGTCCCGGGCAGGGCAGGGCGAGGGGCTGCCCGGCGGGGCCGCTCCCCTCGCCCGCTCCGGCCGCCGTCACGGGAGCCCCCGCGCCGCTGAGGTTCCAAATCCGCGCTAAGGCCATCAGTGCTGTTAAAATTCGCGGTGCGCGAGTGCCGGAGCCGCAGGGCTGGGGCAGCCGGGTGGTCCCGGCTCTCCCCCCTCTCGCGTTCTCCCCGCGGGCGCTGCCACCCCTCTCCTCGGGGGCCCCGACGGCGCGGCCGGAGCGCTGCCGCTCCGCGCACCCACCGAGATGCGGACCCACCCCCGCGGAGCGGCTCCGGGCAGGCACCCAGCCCCGTCCCCGGGACGGTCAGTCCCGCTCAGCGGCCGGTGCGCGCCGCTGCGCACCCGCGCAGTGTGTCTAAGCAGTGTTTGCGCCCACAGCGGCGGGCGCTGCGGGGGGAACGCGGGCAGCGCCCGCCTCGCCGCTCCGCGCAGGTAAGGCGGCTCCGCGGGTACCCGCGGAGGGCAGTCCGGGATCCACCGCATCCCTCAGCTCCGCTGGCCTGATGCCCCGCTGCCCCCCGCGCGGCTGCAGAAAAGTTGGTAGGGGTGCGCAGCGCTGCGCCCCCGCCGACGGAGCGGCCCCGGCCCGGGCGCGGAGCTGTCCCTCGGGGTGCGGAGGGGTGCGCAGGGATGCGCAGCGCTGCGCACCGCGCTCCACCGCCACTTTCGCTTCCCCGTGGGGCCGCCCCGCCTCCCCCGGCCCGGCCCCCCCCCCCGCCCCCCCGGCCGTCCTCCGCGGAGCTCCGCGCCTGCGGGGCTCTCGCCCTTCACCCCCTGCGCGCTTCACCCCCCGCTTCTATTATTTTATTTTTTTTTATTATTATTTTTCCCTTGCGCCGAGCCTTGTTTACCCAGCAGGTGGATGTGACGTCAGAGACTGACAACAGCAAAAAATAACAACATCTCCCTCCGCGGGGGTGTCGCGGGCCGCCCCCGGCCCGCCCGCGCGGGGCTGCGCGGGGCGGGGAGGGGGCGCGGGGCGGCGCGGGGCGGGGGCGCGGCGGGGCGGCGTGCGGGGCCCGCGGGCGCGGCGCCGGGCGGAGGGCTCTATTGTTATTTACCGAGCGGCGGAGCACGCCGCCGCGCCGCCCGGGCTCGGCGTGCCGGAGGGACGGGAGGGAGGGACGGGACGGAGGCAGCCCCGCGCCGCTCCGCGCCGCCGCCCGCCCGCGCCGCGGCCGCGCCGTGCTGGGCAGCGGCAGGGCCGAGTCCTGCGGGTGAGTCCGGCGCCCCCCGACACTTTCCCCGCTCCTCCGGGGCTGTTGCACTTTTCCCCCCGCCGGCCCCACGTGCCCGGCCGCCCCTCCCCGACCGCCGCCGCGGTACCGGGGGGGTGGGGGGGTGTGGGGCGGCGGTGCGCGGATGCGGAGCCCCCTCCCCGGGCTGCGGGGCCGTCCGCACCCCCTCCCCGCCCACTTTGGAAACTTCCCCCCCGCCCCGCGCTGCGCGCACTCCCCGCCGTGGTGGGATGCGGCGCGTCCCGCCCCCCTCCCATCCCCGCTCGCTCTTTCCGCGTGTTTTCCGCCGGGTCCCTCCGCGCCGCCGCGCAACGGGCGCGTACGCCCCAACTTCTGCACTCGGGGCAAGAAGTTGCGGTGGGGCCGCGCCCCCCCCACCCCCGCGCTGTGCCCGGCTGCCCGTTCCCCCTTCCCCGAGCACCTGTTGCGGCTTTACGCCCGCGCAGCCCCTTCCGCAGGCGCGGAGCTCCGCGCAGCGCATCCGCCCCCACCGCGGGTCCCTGGGACGCGTTGCGCCCATCCCCCCCATTTCTTTTCTTTTTTTTTTTTTTTTGAAACGAAGTGTTTGAATAAACACCCGCGCCTCCCCGGCTCAGCCCGGCGCAACTTCTCACTGCGCGGGTGCGGACCGCGTATCCTTCGCGCGCGTGTGTGTGCGCACGTCCCCCTCCCGCGCAGCCCCGCGGTGCGGAGCCTCGGGACGGAGCCGCGGCTCGCTGCGCGCCGCGGAGCCGCCGCCGGTGCCCGGTAAGTAGGGCCGCCCCGCGCACCTGCCGGCCCGCGCTGCGCGGCCGCGTCCCCGGGCAGCGGAGGGGTGCGCGCTGCCGGCGGCCGAGCGGCGTGTCCGCGCCTCCCTCCTCCCCACCCCCGCCCCGCCGGTTTGTGGGTTCCTTTCTTTCCTGGAAAAAAAAAAAAAAAAGAAAAAAAATAACAAAAACCCAAACCAGCCCAGCGAGCGGGGCGCGGGCAGCTGCGCGGGCAGGGCCCCGCGGGGCGCAGCGCAGCCCCCTCCGCACCGCCCGGTCACTATTAATGACCGCGCGGCCCCGGCGCGGAGAGCATCGCCGGGCGGGCTGCGGAGCGCCGCGCTTTCAGCGACTCTTCTGCTGCCACTTCGCTGTAATGATTTTAATTGCGTGTTTTTGCTTTGAGTGAGCCTAGCGGAGCGAGATTACTTTTTTGTTTTTTTCCTTTTTCCCCGTCCTTTTCCCCCCGGTTCCCTCTAAGCCCGGCAGCGGCGGCAGCGCGCAGCCCTCCCGTCCCTACCCGAGGCATCTGCCGCCTGCGAGCGCTCTCCGAGCCGCTTCTGTAGAGAAGCTGGAGCCCAACTTCTGTGCTCAGAAGTTTAAGGTTTCATTTTTAGTAACTGTTCTCGGAGTGAGTAATGGATGTGTACTGCTCGTAGTGTGTCGTCTACACTGTATAGCCTGCTGATTTCTGGGGTGCTGGATGGTTCTAAATATTAAAACAGTTTTCTAAACTGTGTTTGCTTTCTATACAGTTTTTCTAAACTTGGATTTTACCTGATTTGACCAAATGTTGATGTCACTAGTGACAGCTGCTTAATTAGACAAAGTTGCAAGCGTGTCATCGAAGAAACTTTTTTGCCTGTGCTGGTAATCCACAGTTTACTTTAATATTTTGGAAAACATGCATTTTGCTCGGTTTAATATTATTTTTACAGTTTTTGTTACTGCTGAGAAGCTCTTATGTTTTGTAAGTTTGAGAGAGCCTGAAATAACTCAAGTTCCCAGAGAAGTGAGTGTGGGCAAGGAGGTACCGTGCATCTCGGCAACTAGATTTGGGGGAAGACAGGGAAATTGGGGCTACTCCTTTCAACTTCTCTCCTCTGAAGCTTTTCCCCTGCACATTTTGTTTGAACTATCTCCCAACCATATTGAATGGACCAGGGCACTGGGGGAGGAAGCTCTCCACTAGTTACCATTCAAAAGGTGTCGGCTAAAATCTCATTGCAAAAAGGTATTGTAGCTTTAACATCTTGCATTGGCAGCATTCTTCCCCCTTAGTCTTTGGATTAGTCATTGTATGAGAGACAGGAAAAAAAAATCACTTTTTTTTTTTTTTTTCTGGAAAAAGTAAAGTAAACAGCCTCCAACAAGTGAACCTTGACAACCCAGATTAAGGAAGGCAGGAGAGATCAAACAAAGCTGCTGCTGGGCTGTTGTCAGGAGCTGCCTCACTGAAAGCTCTGGACTATTCGATCAGGCAGCAAGGCTATATGTTCACTTATGCAGAAATGGACCATTACAAATGCTGATCTTTGTTGTGAAACCAAAGGATAACTCTGAGAAAAAATAACTACTATTTCAAACAAGGCTTTCTGTTGCTTACGATTTTGATTGCAAAGTTAGTTTTTTGTGCATGGGCTGGGGTTTGGGGTTTGTTTGTTTTTTTTAAAGTGATGATGGTTAGAAGTGCATTTTTACACTTTAAGAGGGGCTTAGGATTTGATTATGTTTACGCTGTCTAGAGCAGCAGAGAAGAAGGCATTAAATTAGTGCAATGCAGAAAAACCTAAAAGTTCTGTGGAATTCAGCTTTTATTTCTGGATCGCTGAATTGTAAAGAAACGAGGATTTGGTTTTTTTCTCTCTGTGTGTAAGTTCTGTGTTGGTGTATAATAGAGGAGTTTGGTTCTGATTAGGCACTGTATATTGGATGACTGCATTCCTAGAGTTTGGAAAACTTGTAATATCTTTCCTTCAAACATGTTGCCAAGCAGTCAGGATGGACCTTGGTTTTGATACACGGGGATTTTTGTAAGACTGTGTGTAATGTGTCTTCATGGCTGTATCACAGAGACTGTTACTGTGTAGTTTTTCATGGAAATACCAGTAAAGAGTATTAATAGGCACTTGATTTTACTTCAATAAACAGTTAGGATTTAGGTACTAATTGAAATGAACCAGGGGAATGAGGTTAGTTTTGTTGTGTGACAGTTTCATGTTTGTATTCAAACACTTGAACTCAAACTTTAAATATGTGTCACTTTCATTCCTTTAAAGTATTCTAAAACAATGGAAATATCAATTTTTAAAAAAATCCAAGTAAGAGGCTGTTACCCTAATGTGTATTAATCAGGAGGCAGACCAAGTGCACATCTGCTGAAGAATTAAGAAATCCTAAATCTTTTTGCATAAGCATTTTTTTAATTAGCAGTGCAGATCTCACAATAACTACTTTATACTTTCTGTAAGGTAAGGTTTCATAACTGTCCTGCATAACTTACTCTAAAGCCTGTAAAGATTTTTTTATGGTATATATTTTAATTAGACAATAAAAACTATGTGCATTAAACATGCACATGTATGCTATTAAGCCATTTTGCGTAATGTGTAATGTTTTTTAACATCTATAAACATTTTCTGCTTAAATCAGTTCCACCAGTAACCGTAACACAGCTGGGTTTTGCCCTGGTAGGAGAAGGAGCAGGGAAGTTGAGCAGGGAATTGTGCATCGGACATTCCCGTGCAGCATACGCCGCAGTGTGCATTTCTCATGGAGTGGATCACCTTTTTTCAGAGCTAAAATTCGCATTATCATCCTTGATGTGATATACTGTAAACATTTGTAGCTCCTGAATTACTCCTGTTTCATAGTACTGTAAAAATTATGAAAAAGGCTGGTAGTAAAAAGGTAAATATATGGAATGTACCTAGTTTAGTATTCGTTTAGTATTCGTTTAGTATTCGTACCTCTTGTGGTCATTTATATTGAGAGATTGAACTGGATAACACAGTTCCTTTTGTGAAATATCCATTGAGCATGTATTTGTGTATCAAATGGAATAACATATGCGCACACATATGTAGGATTTGTATGTAAAATACAGTTATTTCAGCAAGGCTGTCCGGTTATTTATGGGGCATAATGATACTTCTGTCATCTTAAATTTTCTCCAAGAAGCTTTAATAAATTTAAATAGATTATATGCTGTCAGAAAATAGTATAAATTTTGTTTACGATTCACTTGCTTTAAGGTACTTATACTAAAGAAGCTCATTTAACCCCAAGACTGAGGAGCATTAAGTGGTGAGAGGAGTCTGCTGAAGAGCTGCTGCTGCCCTTTGCTCTTGTGATAATCTTAAATTACTACAATTTAATTGCAACTTCAAGGCACTGAGCTGAAATATTTTTATGCAGCTGAGCCAGGGCTGAAGAAGGCTCGGTGGGGTTTTTGCAGGTAGCTGGGTGTCTTTTGGAGTTGCAGCGTTTGTTCAGGCCTCTCCTGCCCTTCCCAGCACATCCAGCATCGTGTGTGCAGGGACAGGGTGCCTGGGAGGGAGCTTTCCCGGGGGTTCCCACTGCAGGGGGAGCGGGATCAGGCCCTGCAGGGCTCGGGTGCACGAGGGTTTTGTTTGCTGTCCGTATTTAAGCTGAATTAAATAGTGCATTTTAATTATTCCTCAGATGAGCCTTGCTGTCAGAGCTTTTCCCTGTGAGCCTCTGCTGGGGAAGCAGGTGGGAAGGGGCTGGTGGCTGGAGGGGAAGCCCAGGGGGTGGTCAGCAGCATGGGGACACGGTGGCACCCTGCTCTGAACATGGCTCGTGGGCATGGCGTGGTCTCTGTGTCCCCAGGGATGAGCTCAGGGTGCAGTCGGCCACCCTGGGCCTGATCCAGAGTGTGCTGGCATCAACTGGGGCTTCTGCTGATGTCGCTGCCTTTGGCTTTTGGTCTGTGCCACTAACTGGTATCACTGAAACTTTTTCTCCCCCTCCCTCCACGTATAGTAGCGTGTTTTCACACCCGGCGAGCGCTTCGGCAGAGATGTGATATGCAGGAGAAGCCAGAAAGCATTTGCTAGGTGGAATTCAGAGACGCTGTGCACTAGAGATCAGCAGCGTCTTTGAGACCGTTCTTAGAGGTCCTGGCAAGCAAACTTTATTCCAGAGCTTCGAAAGGTATGGCCAGGCTGGGAGCCCTTAACGTCGTGCCACCGAGGACGCGCGTCAGCGCCG